TGGTAAATGTTACAAATTTTGTACATGACTTTTGTTTATTACATTAATGGTCATTGTAGTTTGCAAATCTTTACGATTTGGTCCCCATGCCAATGGTCATTGATGGAGGTTGGGTGGCACCTTGTATGAGTAACGCGTGTGGGCATTTTGTTCTTTTTACTATTTTTATTATATAAATTTTAATATACACATGCTTAAACGTGAATCCATTAATGCAGCCCCACTAGTGCCCCCTTTTAAACTGTTCTTCCCTAATACATCACCGACACATCCCTTCGACCACCACCATCAATCCGTCCCTTTTCTCCTCCTTATCAAACCACCATACATGCCAAAAACCGCTACTTTCTCTTCAATTTGTTTGCAAGAAACAAGAAAAAAAAAGGTAAAAGCAGCTGTAGAAGGAGGACTGTCATTAGACCATAGTGAAAACTGTTTTCTCTTTGAGATATGCCACTGGTACTAGAGGTTTACGTACTCAGTGGTCGTTTATTAAACACTTACCATGGTAAGCGCTTACTGGTTCAATTATCTTATCGGGTTAACATATTAAGGACCAAGAACCTACCCGATAAGAGGGAAGATAAAGGATCAGAAGTTTTAACCAGTAAACGCTTATCAGATTATAAAACGTTTACCACTAATCCATTTTAATGGCCGAAAATGTTGTTCCACGAGATGAGTGATAGTGGTGACTCTTGTTGCTAAGCGCTTATCCATAAAGCGTTTGATAAACGACTCATTTAATCCAATATCACTGCCATTTTGTAACCAGAATTTGACTTCAATCAGTTATTTTGCAACCATTAAAGCCCTACTTCATATTTCCAGAAAACCACTTGAATTTTTCCAGAACACTTTGAAAAATATGAAACTTTTTCGATGGCAAGGTAACAAATCCAACTTCCACCAAATATCAATCATCTGGATATGATGTTAGTCCAACAAATTTGACATGCGAAACACAGAGAACAGAAAATTAAGAAACCAAACAAAAAAGAAAATGTCCAAAAAAGGAACCTTCTTGGAAGACAAAAAAGAACACCTAGATTGAATTGCACAAGGTTTTCCACTGAAAACCAATCATATTTTGGAAATTCATGTCAACACCACCAGCAATTCACCGTCCAGTAATCAATTATTGCCTACTGTAAAGGTTCATTGGGAGGAGGAGCTAAAACACAAAATTACTAAAATACCCTCACGTGACTAACAACCAGTAAATATTCAACTCATGGACTTAACACTTGTTAATCAGGAGGACTAAATCTGTAAGTATCGGCAAACTATAGTACCAGAAATATAAATAAACCAACCATATAGACTAAATCTATAATATTTACACACCACAAGGACCAAAAATGTAATTTATACAATTTGAAATAAAAAATGATAAAAAGTAATTGATGCGGGGTTCCACCAATCAGAGTCCACACATGGGCAATGTCACCATCTTCATCGACAAGATGGGGGCCGCAATCACATGGTTTTCTTCGCATTGAATGGGTCCATGATCCAACGCTCAAGATTTAATATCTAGAAAGCAAAAGATACAGCGAATCAGAGCCGTTAGTTGGGAGGACCACAGGTTTACATACAGGCTGTCTTGTTCCTGTTCCCTATTCTAATCACAGCTGACCCAAAAATGCCGGTGATTGACCAACATCTCTCGGTGTATTATCTAACCGATTGTCGACTCCGTTGACAACTCACTCGCCCACTCTCTTTAAGGACGTGCCTTCTATTTTTACGTCTTGTAACGTATTTGGCTAAAATTTTTAAAACTATTAAAATTTTTTAAATTCTTTTCATATTTGAATTCGTGTAATTAACTGCAGATAAACACAATCAAATACAGGATAAACATCTCATTTTAAATATAAAAAATCTAAAGTATAATTAGTATAACCATTAAATTATAACAGAATACTTAATTATAAATTTTATAAAATTTATAATATTAAACAAAAAATAAATTGTTTTATTATTAAACTTAAATTAAATTATATAAAAAATATATATATTATATATTATAAATCATTTGACAAAAACTCTTAAAAACCATTTTTTATACGTAAATTATTATTTATTAATGCATATTACTTAAAACTCAAGTTTACAAGTAAATTGTACGTAGGTACAACTTATTAAAGTTTCATATCTGAATTTGTGTAACTAACTGTAGATAAACACAATCAAATACAGGATAAACACAATCTAAAATATAATTAGGATAATTATCGAGTTCTAACAAAATAATTAATTGTTATCTTTATAAGAAAATTATATTATTAAACCAAATATAAATTACTTCGTTATTGTACATAAATTAAATTATAATAAAAAATTTCACAAAAAATGAGGAATTTTAAATAGTTAATTTGATACGAATATCGGTATATTTTTGTTATGCATAAAGTACTGTATATTGATGCATATTACTTAAAATTCAAGATTACAAGTAATTATGCATAAGTACAACTTATTAAAGCTCGATGTTTGAATTCGTATAAATAACTGCGGAAAAACACAAACAAATAGAGGATGAACATCTCATTTTAAAATATAAAAAATCTAAAATATAATTAGAATAATTATCGAGTTCCAACAAAATAAATAATTATTATCTTTATAAAAATATATTATTAAACCAAATATAAATTACTTCGTTATTGTACATAAATTAGATTATAAAAAAATTGAATTAAAAAATTACACAAAAAAATGAGGAATTTCAAATAGTTAATTTGATACTAATATCGATATATTTTTGTCAATTTTTTATGATATCTTCAAACATATATTTTATTCAAAAATAAAAACATCATCGCTTTCTCAAAATCACATAAAGCCATATTATAACATCGACTGAAATAAAAAATAAAATGAAATATTAAAATCATGATTTATCTCGCTGCATTGCGCAAGTACGCTTATAGTATTATAAAATATTTGGAAAAAAAACATTTTTTATATATGAATTATTGTTTATTAATTTATATTACTTAAAATTTAAGATTATAAGTAATTTTGTGTAAATATAACTTAATAAAATTTTAGTTTTAAATTCGTATAACTAACTGGAGATAAACATAATCAAATACAAGATAAATATATTATTTTAAATATATAAAATCTAAAATATAATTAGAATAATAATTGAGTTCTAATATAATACTTAATTATTATATTAAAAAAAATATTATTAAATCAAAAATATAAAAAATGAATTAAAGAAATACATAAAAAACGATAAATTTTAAATAGTTAGTTTGATATTAATATCCATATTTTTTTTTCAATTTTTTATGATATATATTCATATTTATATTTTATTAATAAATAAAAACATTATCGTTTTCTCAAAACCACATAAAACTATATTATAACATCAATCGAGAAAAAAAAATGAAACATTAAAATCAACATGTATATCGCTGCATTGTGCGAGTACCCTTCTGGTATCTATATAATGTGTTTGGATTAAACTTTTAATAATATATTTAATGATGCATATTACTTAAAAATCAAGAATACGAATAATTTTTGTATGAGTATAACGTTTTAAAGTTATATATTTGAATTCATATAACTATCCTATAAATATAATCAGATACATCATAAATATCTTCTTTTAAAAAATAATTAATCTAAAATATAATTAGGATAATTATTGAGTTCTAACTGAATATTTAATTATTATCTTAATAAAAAATATAAAATCTAAATTAAATTATAATTAAAAAATTGAACTAAAAATTATCTTTGTAAAGAACATTATATTATTAAAGCTAAAATAAATTACTTTGTCATTAAATCTAAATTAAGTTATATTAAAAAAATGAACTAAAAAATTATATACAAAAAACGAGAACTTTTAAATTGTTAGTTTGATATTATTATCGATATAAATTTTTATGGGTTCTTTAAATTTATATTTTATTTAAATAAAAAAAACATTATCATTCTTTTTTAAAATCATACAAAATTGTATTATAAAATAAACATAGATAAATAATAAAAATAAACATTAAAATTGAGATGTATCTCGCTGCATTAAGCGAATATGTTTCTAAACTTTAAAAATTTTCATTACTCTCCCCAAATTTCCGAAAAGTCACTACCTTCGCAACTATCAACGCCTCAACTTACGGAGGATGTAAAAAAGTTCTTAACATGGTCCGCAAGAGAATGTAATAATTACATATTCTTAAAACAACGAATGATCGTATAAGAATAAGAGTTAAAATGAGAAACATAAGAACAAATATATGTACCTTGATCACATTTAATCTCACTCACACCCCATTATACTCCATCCGTCTTAAATATAGACGAGTGATGCATCTTGATGCATTTTATTACTGCTGATCTTCAATTATGATTGATCCAAGGATGAAGGGGTATCTCTTACTATAATTTCCATTCTCACTGGAACTCAATCATTTCTAATACTACGAGATTGTTTGTTTACCTTTTAATAGTTCTATTAAAAGACAACTTCTGAACCGTAAGAGGTGAATCTTGTTTGGCAAAAAAAAATCTATCTCTTAATGGTTCTAAAACTCTTTGAATGCTTTTGTATCCCGGACATCCCTTAACCATTCAGCACCCTAATTCCATTATAAACAATTACCGAACAATTATATTTCATTTTGCATTATACCATGAAAGCCTCTTAATCATTCTGACAACTTAATCATTCTATATCAAATTATTTAACAACTACCAAAAAGCCCCTATATTTGATTGTGCATATATATTTTGAAATGAATTAAAAAGTAACTATTTTACTAAATGTTTCAAATCATTTTTACTTTGACATTGGGTTAAAAACATTTTGCAAGACGACGTCGTTCGGGGGCGCGTGTGTAGTGTGAGAGTGGGTATCAATATTCCAATGTTATGAATTCCATTCACAAAGAGAATAAGTCAACTAAATCATGTCCCAACCCTAAATCTTTTATATAAAACTTATCTTCCATCACAAACCAACCCACAAAACCAATCAATCTCCTCTTCTTTCTATCCAATTCCACTCGCCGGAAAATCAAGAAACTCGCCGGAAAAACCATCCAACAACCCCTTTTTGCAATCCTTTGATCGATTAATTTCAAGAATCAGAGATATGGATCTTAATTTCGAAGCAACCGAACTAAGATTGGGGTTGCCGGGATCCATCGACGACCAGCCGGAGATTAAAACATCACCTTCTCCGGCGAACACCAACAAAAGAAGTTCATCAGAAATGGGTTCAAGTATCTCGGATGCAAACGATACTTCAAGATCCCCCCCTCCCGCCAAGTAAGTTACAAAACCCTACAACATCTAAACAAATTTCACACCTAAAAAACACACACAGAACCTCATTTTTTTCTCAATATACGCACACACACACAAGACTGCAGATTCGGAGATCGATTCATATACTTATGTAAAACTGTCAACTGGGTTTTTCAGGGCACAAGTTGTTGGGTGGCCGCCGGTGAGATCTTACCGGAAAAACATACTTCAAGGGAAGAAAACCGATGAATCGGAGCTGGGTTGTGGGATATACGTGAAAGTAAGCATGGATGGAGCTCCATATTTGAGGAAAGTTGATCTGAAAATGTACAAAAGTTATGAAGAACTAGTGAAGGGTTTACAAACGATGTTTAAGTGCATTATAGGGTTGTACTCAGAGAGAGAATTAGGGTACAACCATGGATCTGCATACAAACCAACTTATGAAGACAAAGATGGAGATTGGATGCTGGTTGGAGATGTGCCATGGGAGATGTTTCTAAGTTCTTGCAGAAGGCTTAGAATCATGAAAGGATCTGAAGCTATGGAGGGTTGATCATGGAGTTGATGAAGAGGGTTTTGTTTTTTATTTTCAAGAAATGAAACCAATCACAATATGTAAATATGATCATGTAATTTTTTTTGCATCTACATGTTTTTATGAAAGCAAATATATATGAATACTTGTTGAAATTTTCAAGATTTGTTCTTTCATGGTTTTGATTTGTTAATAATATGTACAGATGAAAGGTCGTCTGAGAATAGGAGTTAAGGTAAGAAACGTAAAAAGGGATTTCAACTTTTGATCACCACTTATATCTCATCCACCCATGAATTGCGCTTGCTACGGGACTTGACTCTTTGTATCTCATTAGTGTTGATCTTTAATTGGGATTGATCTAAGGATGAAAACCTCTTCTTACAATTCTCATCGTAACTTTCATTCTCTCTGGAACCCAACCCTGTATATACCAATCTATTTTCGTGAGAACATTTTTTTACACTTGAAACTTCACATCAAAACATTGTGAAGGTGAAAAAAAGGCGAACATTCACAACTAAAACACCGTGAAAGTTATGTTTACAATATTTTGCTGTGAAGTTTTGAGTGTAGATAAGTGGTCTTACGAATCTCACGAAAACATGTTGGTATCGTATGATCCTAAAGTCAATAAATATTAAAAGATATTTTAAATATTAAATTAGTCAAAAAAATTTGGTTGAATTATATTCCAAAAGCAAGCACCATGTGTTTTTCCAAATTGAAATTATATAGACATGGTTTTGGAAGATAATAATCATTTAAAAAAATAAATAATCATGAAAAAATAGGTAAAAAATATATTAAAAATATGGTGTGATATTTTTTATGTGGATTTAGTTTGATTCGGTTTTTGTTATATTTTGTTGATTTTCGATTTAAGCAAAAGAATATCTTTGTTCTTTTTTGAAATAGGATAAATTGCATAAAAAAGTAACGTATCTTTATTTGATTCCTAATTTGGGTAACGTACTTTCAAAATTTCTATTTTGGTACCTAAAATATAAAGTTTTAAAATGTAAGTACCCGGGTAACTAGTTGAAGCATTAACTTGTTATCATGCTGATGTGGTATCCAACTCAATATTATTTGCTGACGTGGTTAGTGACATGAAATTTTTAATCTAAAATTAGTCTTTTTCTAAATCTAAAATTAGTCTTCACCCGGTTACTCGGGTACTTAAATGTTTGAAACTTTACATGTACCAAATGAAAGTTTTAAAAGTACGTTATCCAAAATAGAAATTAAGTTAAAATACGTTATCTCTTTGTGCAGTTTGCCCTTTAAACTAACCACATTCTTGTGTATATATAGAGATAAGGGGGAGTGTGTCACATTTATATAAAAACAATACCAAATAAGAATATAAGAATAATGATTAAATCATATGTGATTTTACACTAAACTCACATGTGATTTTATCACGTATGATTCATGCGACTATGGTCGCAACCTAAAATCGCAGATCACGTCGTCCACACATCCTTACTTTGACCGTTAGTATAAAATTACATGTAATTTGAATTTGATCCGACTGTTTTCATGTATTATTATATGATTATTATTCTCGTTTGAATATATATATATATATATATATATATATATATATATATATGGTTGAGTTCATGTGAGACCAATGATTTTTCGTGATATACGTAAGACCAGTTTATGTTCATTGATCAACTTTATAAACTAATGATCTAATGGTCTAAAGTTGTACGGTGACAATTTTGTGATTATTGAGAAGTCTCGTGGCAATTTTGTGATTATGAATGTTTAGATTGTAGATATAATTCAAGAATTGAAAATTAGTATTACGGGTCTCACGAAAAACTTTTAGTCTCACATAATCCCATATATATATATATATATATATATATATATATATATATATATATATACTAAATCTTAAAAGAAATAAAAATTCTAGAATAAAGTATATGAAAAAGTAAAAGGATTAGCATAAATTTAAAGGGAATATAAAAGATGTTGAAAGTCAAACATTTATCATAGAGGATGGATCTATTGGATGAGATATACATTAAAAATTCAAATGTGAGTAATTTTTTTATTAACCTATATATCCAACTCGTTATACAAGTCGACTAATTTTAGAACACCCATTTATTTTACGGGTAATATGAAATTATCGTATTTGAACCTTCATGATCAAATGTGAGTAATTTAATGATGCCTTACATGTGTTAAGTGTTTTGTACACTAATAATTTAAAGATTTAATTGTTTTTTTTTAATAAACCAAATTGTAAATGCAATTTAAGAGTAATTGTCAAGGCTCATATGCTAAGGACGTTTTACTCGTCAACTTTTCGATGTGGCTTATTTAGTGTTCCGTCACTTGATGGAATCGGGTTTCTCCCGTTATCGCATGATAAGTTGATTGATTATCGTCTTTTTAGTTTAATTGGTTCTAAAACGGTTTTTACATTGTTTGCAAGACTAACATTTTCCCCTATAGAGGCTAATATTTATCAGTACCTTGTTTTTATTTATTATTTGTAAACTTGGGGTAATTTTGGATCTCACTAGACGTCAAACCTAACACTTCTTCTCAATTATACGTATAACAGGTCACGATAATATCAAGCCTAAGAGCTTGGACTTGGAGTTCCATTTAGAGGCACAAGCAGGGAGAGCGTTTTTGGAGAGCTCTCATTCTTTTGGAGATAGCAAATTTGGTGGTTGTTTATAATCCCCGACTTAAATCTAGTTTTTTTTATTAACCTGGATATCCAACCCGTTATGCGAGCTGACTAATCCAGGGAGACCACCTGTTTTGCAGATAGCTCAGAGTCACCGAATTTGAACCTTCGTGGCCATAAGGGAATTTTTATTTCTTCTTGGATTTGAACCTGAGACCTCCTGATACTTTTGACCTTTGGAGCAAGCTCAAACCAATCAGGCACCATCCTTGTGGTTAAACTTAAATCTAGTTCTAATAGAATTAGATAGAAGTCTATAGAAACTCTGTATTTGCTGTCTTGTAGCTTTATTGCCATGTTGGGAAAAATACGTTTGTTTTGGTATTTAAATGCCAGATTTAACCGAGTTTTAAATCATTGTTATTTTTACATTTTAGAGGTGTTACACATTCAAATTTCTGCTCAAATAAAGGGTTGGTTTTTAGTAGGTGTGAGTATTAGAATCGTATACCTGTCTTTGAAACCAGAACCTTCTAAAACTGTTGGTTTCGAAATCGGAACCGATGTGATTAGTTCCAGTTTCTAAAATACGGAATCATTAACCGCTAGGTACACGCTGAGAGCGGTTTCGGGACCTAGGTACCTGGTCCTGTTAGGTACCCAGAACCGGAACCCACGGATAACCGCTATTTTTTAAATAATTTTTTATATGTTTATTATATTTAATAAACTAAAACTGAAATTATCATTTTACCTTTTAGGGTTACATTTATCGTCGATTTGGAAGCTGTTTTGCTGTTGTCATGAGTTTCTATGCAGTTATATATGTAATAGTTAGTTTTTAGTTTTTATCTGATTAACTTTCACCGTTTGTAGTATTTATTACTTTAAGTTGGTACTTTGTAATAGACTAGTAATTATTTTTTATAGTATCAGATGATAAAAATTTTAAAAAAAATTAGACATCGGTTACTCGATACCGAAACCATTCCAAACGATTCTAGACCGGTTACCAAATAAAAAGAATCGATGTAACCGATTCCAGTTCTGATTCATTCATTCTAGGAACCGTCGGTCTGGGTTTTGTTCCCGAGACCGGTTCTATGAATTTTGACCTGATACTCGCCTTTGCTCACTTCTAGTTTTGAGCTTACCCCCTGTTTCAAACGCTAATGGGCTTGGGCCTTATTTATGTTGGGCTCAGCTAGTTTAAGTCCAGACTAAATTATGTTGGGCTTTGTTTCAGTTATATTATTTGATATTTGATTCATCATACATTTTTTGAGAAATTAATTAAAATAGTCATTTTTTAACGGCATGGTTCCACTCTTTAGCCATTTCTCTCAAGAATTACATAAATGCCACTTCCTTATGGATCCAGCTAAACGACAAAAAAAACATTTTTCACCCACGTCTGCGAAAAAAATTACATTTTTTCACCCACGTCCGCAAAAATGTTTTACATTTTTCACCGGCGTTCATTTTTTTTTACAAGTGTTAAAAAATGAAGGCAGTCAATCAATATAGATTGGTCTGAAATCTGATTCAAATCCAACATAGCACTCATAGGAGTGACAGAGAGATCACACCATTTGAGCCTTTTTTTTCATGCTTTTCCCCGGAACAAGCCAATCATCCACTTTGATATCCTGGTGCGCCTCTACCCACTTGGCAACTATGCAACATTCCATGACTCTTCGTGTTTTGTATCAACATAGACAAACCTTCCATGCGTATAAAGAAAAGGTACAGTGATAAAGGGTCACCCTGCCTAAGGCCACGCTTGGGAGTAATGGGCCCCATAAGTTGGTCGTTTACACGAACCAAATATCTGACCGAGGCTGCATAGACCATGATCATATTCACCCAATGGGTCAAGAACCCCAATTTTAACATGATTAGACGCAAGGAGTTCGAATCCAATCTATCATATGCTTTATTAATGTCAATTTTCCTAGTTGCTTCCCTTTTTTTTTTTTCTTCCTTGTATTTTCTATTATTATTTGTATTGAATTTTATTTTTGATAACAAAAAACATTCGTTTCGTTGGGCTCCTTTACAATGGCCCACCTGTGAAATATGAGAATCGAACGACTACTTGAGACTGGTTAGATTGAAGGTGTTTGAACAATCCAACCCAACTCAACTGATGTGGTGTGGTATGAGAAATCTTAACTTATTGGATTTTTTTAAAACATAATTGAACGTAACCTAACCTATGTGGGTTCAGTTAGTAGGGTTGTGACACATGAGATATGTTATTGGAACACATCTGTGCATAAGAAGTGACAAATCATTAGGGATGAAATTTTTTACCAGTTGGGGCAGGTATTCGTCGAGTACCTAACCCTTATGGGACAGGGCGAGTGTTTATTTTCATACCCAAAATGGGGTTGAGACAAGCTCTGAGATGACATTACCTCCCCCCAATCTAACATCGATTAAAATTTAATCTTGTTAAATACACGTATATACATATGTGTGTGTGTGTGTATGTATGTATGTATGCACTTATTATTAAATGAGAAATATACTTGATTTTCAACATTGGTAATTGACGTACCGACGCTACATCATAATTTAAAATACGTTATCTTTTACTAAACGGATTCTTCAAAACCGTCAGATATCCCCCCCGACCCGTCGGGACCGGAGAAGCATTACCCGCCCAATACTTGCTCCGTTTCATCCCTTAAAACCATCTCCACTTACAACGACAGTACACAACATTTATCAACATACTTACATGACCCTATCGAACCAATTGCTTCAAGAGTGCATTCACATTTATATGTATTGTGACCATCTAGCAATACAATTCTTTTACCAATAGACAAAATTACAACTTCAACACCTAAAAAGTTGAAACGATCGAACAAATTGCACATACATATAACATAATATATCAGATGGTACCAGATTTCGAATAAGTGTGATCGAGTTCCAACGAAATACATACAGTTTAAACTTTTTACAACTCGATTAAGTAAAAGCGTGATTTTTAGCAGCTTAATAAGACTCACAACTTATTCGATCCACTATATAAAATTGTTTGATAGTGACTTATTCAATAAACTTTTAAGAATAATTTATAAAGAAATCCAAGTTTTTTTCCACATCTAGGGGCCGTTTACCTAAATGCTTACCCGGTAAATACTTAATGTTAGAAGTCAATACTATAATATATTTTATTGGGTAAGATTGTAGTACATCAAAACGTATCATATGCAACAATTTACCTGGTAAGCGTTTACTCGGGTAAGAGTCGTCATCTTCACTTACCGGATGAGACTCTCCATCATTATCACCGCTCTTATCAGGTAAGATTCTTGACCCTTGCCATGTTTATATGGTAAGAAAAATTACCGGTAAGTATTTACCGGGTCCGGACCATATCGAAATTCAAATCTAATTGGTCGGGTTTTTGTTAAAACAAGCCTTCGGTGGGCAAATCGCACATCCATATACATTAGGATCCACTCCTCAGTCTTGGGGTCTCTTTTAGCTGCTTTGCCCCAAAATCTTCCCCATTTTCAATCGATAACAGCATCAGAGCACGAAAATGCTAGCTCGTCTCGCATCCAAACGTTTGCTCGAGATCCGTCAAGCTTTCCGTCAATTTCCTCAGGTTTTCACCCAATTTCCTTGCTGTAAATATTGTTTTTTCGTTGCATCATTTCCATCCCTTTTTCTGATTCATTCACTCGTCTTTTTCAGACAAATCGATCGTTATCCACCGCCCTTAACTATGTAAGTTTCCATCGATTTGTGTATGATTTGAAATCTTGATCCTGGTTCGTCTGATAGTACATGTGCATTTGATTTCATTGACTATGTGTTCTTTTTTGTGGTTGTGCGTGTAGCATATTGATACTCCCGACAATAACCCCAAGGTTCCATGGGAATTCAGTGAGGCTAACAAACCAAAGGTTGGCTCTAATCATCTCACTTTAAGTCGGAAACTTTTTCTTTTAATTGATTTTAGGGTTTTATCGCATAGCTTTGAAATGTTCACGTTTTTGGTAGTTTTCATGAATTTTGTTTGATAATTCTGACCACCAAGAATGGGGCTTCTTAATTGAAATCTGATGCTAGAGGAATGTGGGGAGTGGAAGTCTCCCTTGAAACTGAACTTAATATACCCTTCTAGAAATCTACTTTTGTACTGATTTTATGCAATACAGCTGATAATGTAAAGTTGAGTTTGTACCTTGCGAAGGACTATGGCACTGGATAGGAATTAAGAATTGAAACTCTAATTGGAATATGTTTCATAGTTTGGAGCCTTATGCATAGTTTGTAGGAATTCTCAGTTAATTTAACAATGCATATCTATGACTATGAGTACAATCTGCGGAAGTATTTGTTATTTCCCCTGAGATTTTTTGGCTTCAGCCTCGTTCTTCAATGGTTTAAACTAGCCAGTAAGTTAGTCATGCTGTAATTTCCATATGGCCATGTGTTGAGTGTAAGATCTTAGATACATCTTCATTATATACATGAAAATGAGTGTGTTTTCAATCAAATTCAAGTTTTTTGCTTAGTGACATTAATAAATATGGAATAGTATTAGTTGGCTGTCAACCTTCTTGGAGACTTGGGGGATGGAGAGGTCTTGTGGTGTCATCATATGGAAAATTATGATGGATCAAATATCCCCAATTGTTATTAAGTTGTCCCTTCACATGATATTTTGGATTGACAATTCAACATCTAGGCTATGAGAACGTAGCATAATACCTTAGCCCAACCAACTTTATTATAAAGCCACTATGGTGGCACTTAACAGATAAACTCAGCAGATTTGAAGTTGTCAATATATTTTTATGTTAGAAACTAAAAGTACTCTTAGCATCCTGCTCCTCAAGTGGTTACTTGTTGTCTCTTATTTTGCACCCGAGTGTTTCTGAACAAAGATGCATCTTTTCTCTGTTGGTTTTCTCGTCCATGGAGTTTCCAGATGCTATATTATATGGTTTTTACTGGTCGAGAGAGTGTTTCTAATTTGTTGATTGTTGACTTGAAGTCATATAGCTTCATAGTTTATCTTTTAGGACTAATATACTTCTTTGTCTTCCATCTGACAGTTTAGTTTCCCTTTCTTATGTAATTAGTGTGATATGCAGACTGCTTTCATTAGAAGCTATTGCTATATCTCTGTTGATGTTGCCGAGTTGTCTAATTTTTGGATTTATGAGGGTTATTTTCTACATACAGGTACATGAGATTCTGTCTCACTATCCATCTAACTACAAGCAATCTGCAGTCATCCCACTTCTAGATCTTGCACAACAACAGCATGGAGGGTGGCTTCCTGTTTCAGCAATGGATGCGGTATGTTGGCATGATTATATACAATTTTTCTGAAGATATGTGGCTGCCCCGTGTGTGTGAATATCCTTGTATATCTCTAATATCATTGTTGTTGGGGCATATCATATGTATATGTGTAGATCCATTTTTTTTATAATAATAACCTTTTTATTCCCTTAATTCAACACTAGGAGTAACAACACTGCTTGGTGCAAATGCTAAAGGCTCTTTGTCCATTTAGATAGAAATTATCCTGTAATTTTGTTTGATTAAAAGTTTAATATGCACTCACATGCATGTACATATAACATATGTATGTATGTACAATGTTGACGTGTATACTGTCTACACATATTTATAACATGCATGTATAAGTATACATGTATGTATATTATGCAGTGTGTGTGTATGCATTACATGCGGTCAAAGTTTTTAAGATATCCCAATGAATAGTGCTTAAGGAAGAACCGAAGAGGGCTCTCCATTCTCAACGAGTAGTGCTGTGGGGTGGACCTACATGTGAGTGAGGAGCTTAACCGTTGCTTTAAAAATATTTTGCCTACACATATCCACACGTACACATATACATGCATACACACACACACACACACACATATATATATATATATGTATGTATATACATGTGTGTGTCCACTTGTGGGGTAAAAAACATGAGTGGTCTCTGCATAAAATTTGGTTAGTGACAGTTGAAATTTGTGTTGGGTGAGATGCACAATTAGATGTGGGGTCGACCCAATATGCATATCTTAAAGCACAATTTGCATGAAAATGTTGACCAAATTTTGTGTAGGAACTAACACTATTTTACAACCTAAGGACACACACACACACATTTGTGCATGTATGTGTGTAAATATGTGTACGTGTGTAAATGTGGTTCTGAGTGTATTCAGTGGTACTAGGGTTCCATATAATGATGATAATATTTTAGTATTTCTTTACTATTTTTTTAAATGATTATGTTATAGCAAAATTGGTTATTATAGTCCCTTCAAGTTGGTCCCTTTCTTCCAAGTTCTAAAAATATCCTGAACCTGGAAGTTGTTCATGTGATTCTAGGCATGCCAGTCGGCGTTCACTTCTACATATGGTCTCAACTGTCAAAAAAATGGAAGTAAAATTCCTACATACTACGCCTTTGAGAGGCCATTTGAAAGTTTCTCCATCATTGGATTCTTAAGACAAACTACCCTGTCCACAAAACTACACTAATTTAAATTATTTTTGCTTGAATTTGACAATTTGTTCACTATCATTGAGGTCACTTCCTTTTCACACTTCATTATCCTGCTTGAGACCCGTTGGAAATTTTTTCTGCTACAGTATCACTCATGAGAAGATCCTTTTGGTACATGGAACAGGATGAGACAGGACAGATCAAAAACCTGTTGTCCTACATTTGGTTTGACATTAGACTGGGACAAGATGAGACTGAGTGTGTCCCACCGGAGTAGGTGGAAAAAAAAGTAGGGAGATTGAGAAGATTGGTAAAATACTAAACTACCCATGTCAAGTTAAAACCCTAAACCTTCCATAGTTCTTTCACGTGACTACCTCACTCTTTCCCATCGTGTCCGGTCCGGTCTGCATGTCAAACACACCCTTTTCTTGAAAATGCTTGTTTCAAAGACAATTTCATGCATGATTCACACCAGATATTGATGGTGACTTCGATTGTCAAAAAGTTAGTTTTCACTTTCCATTATGGACGATAAACTTTCGAAATGTTATGTGGAAATTTCCATGTAACTACACCCGAAAGACGTTTATGTCCCAACTTATAAGATTATTTGTCAAAGTATAGTTCTGATAATATATTTTTGGGCAAAATGTATGAAAACACAACGAAGGTTGGTATAATTCCTATTCAGTGTAGTGAAGGTTTTTTTTCTCAATCTATGTAACGAAGTTCCGAAAAGTTCTATTTTGTACCCATTTTGACCTGTATCCTGCCGATCTTGTAACATTTGAAGACATGGATACCCATTTTTACTAAAGAAATATGAGACGTTTACAAAAGAGTTGCAACGAAATGGACGATAAACTTGACCAGTTGACCCTTCGTCATCAAAAGTCGTCTATCTTGTTACATTGTTTGAGGAATTTTCTTTTTGTTACACTAAATAACTAAGACAAATCTCGTTGCATTTTGATGCATTTTGCACTATATATTTTTTTCTACATTGTACTTTTCTCTGTTCATTTGCACTAACGTTGCTCTGTTGCATTCTGAAGGTCGCGAAAGTTATAGAAGTTGCTCCTATTCGTGTGTATGAGGTTGCAACGTTTTATTCCATGTTTAATAGAGCAAAGGTAATGGCTTCACATGTGCATTTGCTGACATGAAACACAACATTTTTATCTGAATTTAAGAGGTCAAAGTGAGTTGGGACAAATGGCTTTGTTTGTAGGTTGGCAAATACCATCTTTTGGTCTGTGGAACAACTCCTTGTATGATTCGTGGTTCACGGGAAATTGAAGATGCATTATTGAAGCACTTGGGAGTAAAACGAAATGGTTTGTATATTATATATGCACAAGTGAATAATATATTTCTGTGATTTTTTACACACTGATGACTCTAGAAGTGGCATCTAAGATACTCTATGGCTACTTTACGATATGCAGAGGTGACAAAGGATGGATTGTTTTCTGTTGGAGAAATGGAATGCATGGTGAGTCACTTGTTTAGTTGTCGAAGTTTTTGTCTTTTCATTGTTTTACTTGTGCCTTACGAGGAAAGTTCAAATGAGAACCATAAATATTTTGAGAACCGGGAATCAACTAATATGTGTATTATTCATGATGAATAGCCCTGAATAATCATGCATTTTCATAATGAATATCATGTATTCATGTATCTTCATAATGAATAATATTCATGATGAATATTTATCACGACATTCATCATGAATAAAGCATGAATAGTTGGTTTTAGGTTCTCAATATATTTACGGTTCTCATTTTAACCTGATAATTGTGTGGGAAAAAGGCTGTGCATGCTCTCAGGATGTGTTTCTGGTATTTAATTGCTTCTTTTTACAGTTTTGAGTCCTTACCCTTTCTTACCTGGTACTAACTACAAATAAGTTGGCACTCATTTAAATGAACTTGTATGTTTGTCTTGTCCTCCTATCAGCAATGTGATATGATAAAATAATTTCAGATTAACCCAAATATAGATAATACTCTACCTTTGGACATTTTTAGTTATTACATATCAATTGTAGCTTTTGGAAATCTGAAACTCTATTCATATATGAATCTGAGATTTTATCCAGATAGGAGAGCCCGATCACACACCTTTTCTCATGGTTTTGAAAAAACAAACTTTGTTATGGAAATTTTATTACATGTTACTATGTGTGTGTGCGTGTATGCATACATACTAGATCATACCGTTGTATTAGTTTGTTTGTTTATGTTTAACCAGAAGTTCTTATATCCTAGCTTTTATCGTATACTATATTCTGCCTCCTGAATCCAAGCTGGTTTTTAATATTTCGGTATGTTCGGTATGTTATAAACACGGAGTTTCAAGAAGTTGCATGCATGTAGTAATAAGTTGTACATGAATTTTTTAAGAGATTTTAAGAAACATAGGGTAAATGCTTTACCGACTTGGGGTCACATGAGACAAAAGATTTTTTGGTGAGAAGCGTTAGAAGTGGTGAAGGTACCCTTATATTGTGTGAATGTTATGTTATATTTTCTGAAGGTGGTGAAGGCGACGAGACCTGAATGTGTACCTTCACTGTTTCTTGTGAAAGCGGTCACCTTCACGTGCATTCACACAATGACAGTATAAGGGTACATTCACATATATTATGTGAAGGTTACATTTCTCACACCGGTCACGAAAAATGGCGTCTCTCAGGAACCCGATCCATGTTCTATAATATAGCAAGGATATAGAATTTTTGCTAATCTGTAGCTTCATCTTTACAAGTCCGAAAGGTAGAAATACTCATATCTTGCCCACGAAACACATGTTCGTTTCCCTTGCGGACATTTATTTTCTTTCTCATCGGCATGTATGATCCTCCCTCCGTCCCAAAAGTAAGGGTCCACTTTCAAAAGTAGATATTCTAATTCTACCCTTTAACTATGACTTCGAATATTTAAGAGTTTATGAGATGGAGGAATTCGTTAGAGGAAGGTTTGCCTCTATCATTACTGGTAAAATTTTCATTCAGTTAATTAAAAAGTATAATGATTATATAGTTCTAGAACTATGTGTTTTTATTGTCGACATTTTTTAAGGACGGGGGGAGTAATATAAATATCTACTCTTTGTTTCTGCAGGGTTGCTGTGTAAATGCTCCTATGATAACCGTGGCCGACTATTCAAATGGATCCGAAGGATATACATATAACTACTATGTGAGTATTATAAACTATTCTATCAGGTTGCGTTTGGTATGCAAGGGAGGGAAAAACAAAAACTTTTGTCGTGCATTTGGTGCGATAACTAGATTGGAACCGGACGGAATTTAGAGGGACAAAAATGGGGAAATTTACAAAAATACCCAAAGCTGATAGGTAGTTTCACTTTTTAGTCATTTTTTGACCCAAATTCACTTTTTAGCCAATCTTTATACAGAAGGCTTAAGCATATGTATAAGGATTGGTTTTCAAAGAAAAAAAAGAGAATCCATAAGGTTTCTGACCCAAGATTTTACATTGGAATCCTTATGCAGAAACCTTATGCATATGCATTTTTTTTGCTGAAAACCGATCCTTAGGCATATGCTTAAGCCTTCTGCTTAAGGATTGGCTAAAAAGTGAATTTGGGTCTGAAAATGGCTAAAGAGTGAAACCTTATTTGCTGATTGGCTACTTGTCAAATTTCCACAAAAATGCATTTTTTTCTGTCTAACCAAAATAGACGAAACATAAATCAAGAAGATGGGACAAGATCGGTAAATTACTAAACTATCCATGTCAAATTAAAACTCTAAAACCTTCTGCAATTCTTTCAACTGTCTATCTCACTCTTGCCCGTCCAGTCCCGTCCGTGTATCAAACGCACAGTTCGGTGATTTTGGCACCAAAACTTGTATGGATCTGGGAATTGTGATTGTATCTTCTTTTGCGGCAAAATGCAGGAAGATGTTACCCCAAAGAGAGTTGTGGAAATAGTCGAGGCACTAAAACGAGGAGAAAAGCCACCGGTAAGTGATAAATTACACCGTATTTGTGAGATTGATATCAGAAACACTAGTTAACTTCTTTATATATTGATTCTTGATAGCGTGGGACCCAAAACCCCGAGCGTGTCAATTGTGGGCCCGCAGGAGGGAATACTACGTTGCTGGGTGAGCCGAAGCCTCCCCCATGCCGTGACCTAGATGCCTGCTGAAGTGGAATTCTTTCTTTTTTACATGAAATGGAAAACCGAATTCTTTCGGGTAAATGTTCTTCCTAATAATGCCATGGCTTTGAGTGTTCGCCGGACATCCGTGAGTTCGAGTTGTTCTCGACATTTGTAATGCACAAGATAGTAGCAAATTTTTTACTGCTAGTTATGTACTCGCGTGATGCAGCGTAATGCATCTCAATTCTGAAACGGAAAATACGACCCCTTGATATTGTGTTTTTTTTGCTTCATTCCGTTCTCCGCTATGGGTTTGTGTGGTTTTCAGTTGCGAGTCGAGGCTGATATATATATATATATATATATATATATTCAAGGTTTTCTGTTATTTTGGTTGCTTTGGTAGTATTAGTAGAGCTCGATGCTTATCTTGTATTTGAATGTATTTAATCTGTTAATTTTATGAAGTTCAACATGGAGTTTTAAAAAACACACAGGTAATAAGCTGTAAACTTGAATTTTAACAGATTTTAAGAACACTGAGGTAAATAAGCTATGGAGTTCTTGTTAATTTGTGGCTTCATCATCTTTGCAAGTCATGGCTTTCAATGGAATTAGTCGTTCTATTCTTTGGGATAGAGACAAGTCTGTGTATATTACATATGTTATTCGTAATAGAAGACAAACCCATGTATATTCCACCCACAGACCTTGCATGCTGGTTGGATTACTGGGCTCGTTTGGTTTTTGTTAAATGGATGTCATGAATAAATTTATAACTTTTGAACTCAGTAACTTAGAAGTAGCTTAAAACAGAGCTTCTAGTACAAGACCATCAAAAAACATCAACTTATCCCACTTGAAAACAGACTCCAAGAGAATTGAGATATACATATATCTATTATCTACCTTAAACGATAGAATAGTTGTTCACTAAATACTCCTTATTTGTGCAAAATATGGAAAAAAGAAAAAGAATAACAACAAATATAATGTAATTAATCAAAGGGCTTTTGACCTAGCGTATCGTAGCTTTTAGCCTCCTAGAAAGTTAGGGGTTCAAACTTCACCAAAGATAAAGAGGGTGTGTGAGTTTATTTGTTGCATTTTTTGTATGTAAATATTATATACTTTCAAAAAAATATATAATGTAATTAAAGAAATAGTATGAATGAAACATATGAAAAACTAGAAAAAACAAAGGACTATATTGTCATTCCATCTATTTTTCAAAGTCAAATACATCAAAGATTCAAAGGGGGTGGTGGATGCTAAAGTAAAGCAAAGCAAAGCAAAAAAAAAAACCCTAATGAAAACTTTTCTTTTTTCTTTTTTAATTAAATTTTTGGGGTAATGATAGCAAGAGGGGAAAACCAACCAATGCCACCACTTGATGAACCAATAATGCACCAAAAAGTAAAGAAGTCAATGCTACTTTTTGTATACCAACCCACTCACTCTTTTTTGCACCAATACTCCTCCTTATCACCACTATTCAAGATCTTACATCTTTTTTAAGACAACCAACCATTATCCATATATATATATATATATATATATGCATATTAAAACTAGAACAACCAAATAAAAACACACGAAAACGATAAAATCATATATGATTTTACACTAAGGTCAACATAAGAGCGTGCAAGCAGCGTAACCTACGACCTCATTTCGACCGTGATTTTACACATGAATTTAGTGTAAATCACATGTGATTTGTCCGTTTTCTTGTTCATTTATTTGATTATTATTTTTATATGAACCTGACTATATATATTTATAAGATTAATCATATAATAACCTATAAAATTGTGATAACCATGAACTTATGTACATTTATTGAACATTAAAATATTTCATCTAGGTCTAAAATTTAAAATATTGGTAATATATATTTGTTCCAAAATATGCTTGTCTCACAATATGAAACTTTTCTAGCAAAAAAGTTTCACATTATAGAACAAATATATAACCAACACCTTTTTTTTAAAGTATATAATATTTATATACGACAAAATAGAACAAATAAACTCACACACCCTCCTCACATTTGACGAAATTTGAACTCATAACCTGCTAGGAGGCCAAAGACTCATACCTTATGTTCCACACGTTAAGTTCCATCATTAAATGAAAAAAACACAAGTTATCACAATACTTGAGATTCTGATATAATTATACCCCTATATATAAATAAAATATGTGTCCCCACAATCCACTATCCCCTAAAAAATGAAAAATGAAAAGGCTGCCTCCACTATGAGTCATCCACCACTACCCTGACCCTCTACCAATTGACACAAAAAAGGCACAACATATCAAGCAAAGGTTTGACAACTTTCTACCCCTCCTTGAATCTTGTGGGCTTTCCATTATTCTTATAAAACATGATGAGTGCTTGAAAAAGATAAAGCCAACTAATGATGCTGCTTTCAACTGATATGGGTTTGGTTTAGGATTTAGGGTTTAGGGCTAAAAACTACAATCATACAAGTTATTGGATGATTTTTGGAGGGAGGTTTTTATAAAGGGGGTTCAGATTCGGGTTTGACGATGGATGTTGAATCCGGAGGTTGTGTGTGATAAATAGCAGATGCAAGTGAGATGGGCATGATACAAAGTGCCTTCGATTGAAGAAATTGCATGGCGGCCCCGACATTTTCCTCCATGAGCTTTGCAACTTGTCGTTCTGTGCCATCGTTTGACCATTTCTCCCATGCCGGTTGGTTTCTTCCCCCTTCACCTGCTTCTTCCTGTTCAGAAGTAACCGAACCCATTTAAGTTGTTTGTCTGGATAAAAATGTATTAATGTTTTTATAGTGAATCAACGGACTGAATGGCATACCCCTCGGTTGGTGGGGTCCGGAGTATGATATGAAAACATTGACCATGACATACAAGTTGTAATCGAAGATCAAGGTTCGGCAACGTTACCTCAACAGATGATATAGGGATGTCGGTGACGAGCGGTGCAACGGCGCTAGCTCCACCGAGTCTACTCATGCTTAATACCTTCAACGTAAAAAAAGGCAAATAAATAAAAGAAATACAAGTATTAGGTATCACACTCAAAGGTTGTTTGGTTGGTTTTCCATTAAGTCATATATGGATAAAGTTGTCTGTGTGGATTAATTTGTCTGTATGAATTTGGAAGGAGTGTGTTTTTTAATTGGAAGGAGCAGGTTTGGAAAAAGAAAAAAACTTGACTTTCTGCATAAAACTCCTCCCTAGAAGCTTACTGAATAAGTCACTTTCTATACTACCCACCACCACACACTCATGTCTTAGTTACTTTTTCTATTTTGTTCTTGTGTTCGCCCACCATATGTTTGTGTTTATTCCTACTAAGCCAGCATAAAAACACCCGCTCTACTCCTTCAGTATGGGTACATCTCACCCTTCCAGACCCTAAGTGGGATTTAACGGGTCCGTTTGGTTCGGTTTCCTTCTTCACAAGCCAGAGGTCTTCACAGAAACAATTGTCCTTTGGAGGTAGATGACAGATTTGCATACATCCCATTATTTCCGGACCCCATTTCCAGTGGATATACTAGGTTAGTCTGACTAAGTATGAAATATCGCTCAGAGAGTATGATACAACTAATTCTTTGAGTAATGAGATACATAATCGGTTTGCAAGTCATCAGAAACTGCAGTATCATAAGAGGGACCATCACTATGATGGGCAACATTGAAGAACTTAGGCCAACTCAAATCTATGTTAGGATTATTGAGATTTTGCACATTGAAGCTAATCATAATGTTTCTTAAGATGTGGCTGAAATTTCAGCCACTCCATGCTCCCCAACCCGTCAATGTAATTTATATATATATATATATATATATATATATATATATATATATATACTATCTTATTAAGCAAATTTAGCAAAAGTCTTAAAGTCTTAAAATTTTAAATAACCAAGATACCTTTTATACTACCCTTTAGTCACTTTTTCACCTTTTCACCCTCTCCTCTCCTCACATACACTCATTCTCTCACAACCCATTTTTTTAAAATTACAATTTTAAATTTATACTTTATACCCCTATAATTAGTTAATTAATTTGCTTTACGTTCTTTACTTTTAAATGTTTCATTTTAAACCTTTATCAAATTAATATACATAATCGTATATCAATTAAAAACATGTTTAAAAAATACATTTTTATTTTAACAAGTTACACCATTATAATCGTCTCGTTAATACCTTCGAAATGAGTCCAATATTGAATAGTTTTTGACTTAATTATATTATTATATAATATATATATACTGTGAAAAAATATTTTTAATATTTACGATTTATACTTTTATAGTTATTTATTTATATATATACTATATATTTTAGGGTTAGACTGTCCAAATTGCATTGTATAATATGTTCTGAATTAATATGTCCTTGGGTTTTTTTGAGCTTCTGGACAAGAAAGAGGGTAAGCAGTTGAAATTTCATTCTAAAACCCATATTTTTTGGTCTTTTCATGGCTTATGATCTGTCAAATTTGTAGTATTCTTTATTGGTTTTGAGTGTTTATCTTAAAACTCAAGTTTCTTGGTTCTTTGCTCTTGATGTAAATCGAACACATTTGTGGAGTCGTTTAAATATGTTGGATTTTAAATTGTCATACAATTTTTTTCATCGATAATCTGTAATTGGAACCATAACTCTTATTTATTCAAATTGTATTAATATGTAAAGACCAAGTGTAACCTATATCATCATTAAATCTTGTCTTATAAAACCAGTGGAACTTCAAAATCGTTAAAATTCATGGCTCACGCCGCATTGCGCGGGTACACAACTAGTATGTATATA